TATACATATATTACACGCAATATCTTCTCTTTTAATACATACTTACATTATGGACATAATGCTTCTGACCAACTTAATGAAATAACTCTCAAATATGGGGACTAGGGGCATATCTCATCACAAGTGGGCACTGTGACTACCAGATCCATCCTTGAAGCACGATCCATTCTGCGCATGCGCTATGATTTCATTTGTGAATGCGCATCCCGATATACATCCGGGTCGTCCTCGATTTTATTTTGTTAAAAAGACCTAAATGACGTTTTCCCTCCCCAAAAATAGTAAACGTACAAAAATATAATGTGTTAAAGGTTAACAATGTATTTCCTGAGAAAATAAATGCCTTAAAATCCTTTCTTTTTTATCACTCGTCTCTGTTCGATCTGTACCGGAAATGGGATCCTACGCTATCTCCGGTGGCTAACCTTTTCAGCTTTGGATTTAAACATAAATCTAGTCTTTTTGAGTTTTCGTTTGTTTTAACCTTATGCTATATAGTGCGTAATCTAAAGAAAGAAACAACTAAAATGCAGATAAACATGGTTTAACCATATTTTGCCAGACTGCTCTGAACATGTCTGATGATGACATCAGAGAAGCAGTTTAATGAAGAAAACGTAAAAAGCATAAAAGTTGTCTCACAAAAGGCATAAATCATTTCTTAAAGATGTGTGTTAGCATTCTTTAATAAGTTAAGGATAGAAATAATTAGTTTCAGTACCATAATTACATTATTTATGGACACCCGATGTAATATCTGTTTACACATGCGCAGGACGGATCGTGCTCCCGGGACGGATAGGGTAGTGACAGGCACTTAATTAAGCAGAGAAGTACAGAATAAGGTAAGAGTGAGTATGCTTTCTCAAAAAAAAAAAAAAAAAAAAACCTGTACTAAAACCTTGATAATTTTTTTAAACTTCAAAAAGAAAAAACAGGGGCTTGGCAAAGGATCTGGGTCGGAGTGTGAAACAGTATATGTAGACCTCAGTATTCCTCGCCACCAGTTTGGTTTCAGGTGGCACCATGACTGGATGGATGGATGGATGGAAGGATGGATAGACTGACTGGATGTCAGCCCCCATATATGGTATAGAAATCAATTTTAGATATAGATTTGAATACTTGGGACCACACTTTTAAAGTTGCTTTCCTGTTTTATCTCTAATATTTCTGCCATGTATCCCTGCATTTTCAAATGAATGTGGACATTTGTTAGAGTTATGTTTAAATACTGAACCAATTCCTGATGATACTTAAAGCTTTTGCTTATTTGTGTTCTGTTTTGGGTTTTTTGTGCCAACTGGTTCCCCAAACCCTGATAATTGATAGCAAAACTTAATTAAAAATGAACAATAACATCCACTGAACTCACCCTCACCTTATATTATTACTTTATATGACAGCTCTGAGAGAACTTTCCATCGAATGATCAACACCTGGAAAACACCTAATATGGCTAAACGAGACATAAAATAAGCTTCTATACCTGCTTATCTTGTTGAGTTAAAATAAGTTTAGCTTTTTTGTTACTGCTTAGGTTAAATAGAATTCAGAAACAAACAAAATGACACATAATGAGTCCTTCAGCTTGAAAACAAGTGGTGACATCTGGACTCTCATCTGTGCCAGTATTAAAATTACAGCTCCAGTTTTTCCAGTTGCACTCGCTCTTGTTTTTGTGTCAATCAAACGGCAAAATTGTTTGAGTTAACATGCTGGAACCAGAATCTTGTTTAACTGTTATTATAAATGCGCTCACAATAATCCAAATCCAAAATATTAAGAATAAATAAACAAAAAAGCTCCTATACTAAATACGTATGGAAATCACACCAAAGCCTACATGCATTGCTTTGAAGCATTCATGCATGTCTCTCTGCGTCTGAAAGCTGCCTGCAGTATTTGACTCCAATCTGTAAAGTGCTGAGGATTTTCAAATTTTCTCACTTGTCTCACAAATAACGTTGTCTCACAAATTTTCAAATTTTCTCACTTGCCTCACAAATAACGTTGTCTCACAAATTTTCAAATTTTCTCACTTGCCTCCTTGAATAAAGGGGGAACAAAAATGTTTTGAGTTGCATTATATAGACCCTTAAAAAAAAAAAAAGAATGTTGGATTATTCCAGTTAAAAGTCAGTTAAAGTGGGAATTAGAGCAAAAGGTCTCTGCGGAGATTTTAAAATACAGGGGTTCACTTAAGAAACAGGAAATACCCCAGATATGGCAATGAATGATCCCTAATGCTTCGGTTCACCATCTATTTAATGTTTTTGGCTTAGAACTGTTTGAGGATAACATAGTTTGTTAGAAAAATGCTTTTAGTTGTTAGCTTAGGCACTTTTCATAGATTTAAGCAAATACGTTGGAACAAATTGTCCCGTGTTAGTGGTGGTTCTTGGATAAATGAAAAACCCTTTAACCAATGCTCTCTCCCTACATTACATAACAGTCCAAGCTTAAGAAAATGGGATTCCTGCAATGTTTTTGTTGAGGATACTTAAAGGTAGTACATTCTATTTAAAAAAAGCAAGAACAGCACAGAATAAGTTATGGTTTAATATGAGTCGTGGGGTACCATCTCCGCCCCTTCTTCTAATGACACCCTGGGTAACCACCCGTACACCCCTTATAGAAGTGGACAATGCTCCTCATTTACAGAGGTGCATCTAGATTGGCAAACAGCTTGTATGGGATCCAGCTGTGTGCCTAAGCATATAGAACATGCTACTTACAGAGACAGACAGCAGCAAGGAGCCTCAGGCCGTTCTCTGGTGGGAAACAGGTGGGGAACAGAGGCTGCAGAACATAGTTGGAGAACGTCAGCGCGATTACAGCCTGATTGGTTGGATAGATGACCAACACAGCAATCCATAGCCGCAGGAACCTAATGCAAAGACAAACAGTGATAAGGACACATGCCATATCCAGCTCAAGGATGTTGTTTTATATCTTAAGGTAATTGCCTTGTCCTTAATATACTACATTCACTGTGATTACAAACAAATGAAGCATATAATAATAAAGAAAACATGTAAAATTTAGGATAATTTATAACAAAAAAGAAATATTCAATTGAATGAGTTCCTGTAATAGAAAAAGTTTATATGTAAGAGCTCCCAGAAGAAAAACAATTGGGAAATCCCATGTTGTAACATAGTAAGCTGCTTGTTTTTTGACCTACTTGTGAGCAAAGACTTCCCCTCCATATTTATTTTCTGCCGAAACAGCATTGTTTTTAGGGTTTACTTCAGGACATGTAGGCTTCCCCTTTTCCCTCCACTTACACACATATAAGACACATCATCACTGCATGTAATAGTCTCATCTAAGGCAGATAATAAAAGGTATAATTAAAACTCAAACAGCTAATGGGATAAACAAAACTAATTAGTACCCTGAAAAAAAACAACCAGCTGACTTTGGCTTTAAAGGCTGAATATTGAGTCAAACTAGTTAACATTACCAGAAGATAAGAATAAAAGAAAAGCTAATGTAAAGAACAAAGCAAAGGAAACAAGCAGTGACGCTCAGGCAGATTAATGGTGCAGGACAGTACAGGAGACAAGGCTTCTGAGGTTATAACAGCTCAATAGGACAAACCAGGAATCCAGTATTTTCATGCAATTCCTTCAAAGCTTCTAATGGGATGATTATATACTAGACTGTAAAAGTGTGACTTTAGTCCGCTGGAATGTTCTCATGAACGTAGTTTAAAGACTGGTGCAGACCAAAGACACGACTTTTGGAACATACCGTTTATCTAATTGTGCATTTTGTAGGGTTTACATCACTTTGAATAGTTTGGCAAAGATCTTTTCATCTTTATGTTTTTTATTTTGTATTTTTCTTTTCAATCTTAAGTGGTCAAAAGCAATAGACTGGCCACCTATTCAGAGTGTCGCCCATAGATAGGCTTCAGATAGGCACCAGCCATGATGAATAAGGGGACTAAAGAAAGAAGAAGAGGAATAAAAGACTTTGGTGCATTTTGTATTCACTCTTAACCATACATCTATTTTTGGGTTAAAAGAATTAGAAAAAAAAAAAAAAAAAACTGAAACTAGGGATTAATAATTTTTTCATTGACCTATATCTGCTCTAAATTATGCTATAGAATCAAACCCGTCCTGCATTGAAGATTTTATAACCTCATTACGCTTGAACCTTCGCTTTAATATCTTTAACATTTCAAGCTAAATATTATGCTATTATGCAGACATCGGTTAATTGTTTTGTTTTAATTTTATGGTGGGCTTGGCGGTTTGTAAATATTTCAAATCCATATGTTATTTTCTCCTCTCTTTATAATTATGTGTTACTTTGTGCTGGTCTGTTACATAAAACCAGAATAATACACAATGAGCTTTGTGTTTCTGATGTAAACAATATGGAAAAGTTAAGGAGGTATGAATCCTCCTGCAGGGCACTGGGCTTGTGGACAATCAGGAGGTATTTTGAGATTTATTTTGTATAATTATTATTATTCATTTACATCCTACAAAGCAAATCCTAAACACGCACTTCCTTCACATTGACACTGATATAAAACATGTCTCTGTCTCTGGTGTGACATAACAATGGCTCTTTGATTTCTGAACTAATACCCTTTCATTTGTCCACTTCTATAAACTAAGCTTCGCCCAGCTGAAGCAACAAGGGGCCGTAATAACCGTTCTCAGCCGTTTCATTTATTGACTTACATGAACATGGAGACACACCTTCAACCCTACACATGCTGTACATGAACACATGGGGACAAAAGCCACCGCACTACAATCAGCATCGGAACGCCGTTTATTTATATGGAAGCATCTGAAACCACAAACTACAAAGTCTCTGGATGTAAATGCTCATTGATGTGTATTGATTGTTGCTGTAACAAAGACGCACAAACAACCTGTGGCTGTTTTGTCTGCTTAAATTCCTCCCTGAGAATATGTGATGGCTAGGAATCAAACAATGCGTGTTTACAGTCGGGTCCAAGGCGAACGGCGTGTGAAATCTACACCAAGAAGCCACATTGTTTTCTATGATATTGTTTGTTTTTGCTACTTTGTACGGTTCCCAAGCTTTTAAAGGCTTTCAGGATGGACATAAAGAGGCTGTGGTCTGGACGTCACCAGAATCATGTGGAATCAAACTCTATTTAACATCCTTCCCTCAGGTTTTGTCCTCAGGTGCAGGAACTTAACACTTTAATTACAGCCATTTAGCCCTTTTAAAATGGTTCACAAAAAAGGTTTGAGTTGCATTGTTGGATGCAGAGACTTCTTAAGATGTCTTTATTTTGCCTGAAATAATAACCAGAAAATATAAATAAAGAGGATTACATTTTTTTTTTTTTTTTGCTTTTATTAGCCAGTTTTGAAGTTTTTCTCCAGGTTAAAAAATAAAATCATTAACTTGTTCAGACCAAAATAGGTTTAAAAAAATGACAATATGTTTCTCTGATCCGGAACACATGATTAAGATAGCAGGATTACCTCTTTGATGTATTATTAAACTGTTCACCCGATGGCCCCCAGGCCCTCTGACTTACTCTAACGTTGTCCTGCTGCTAAAAAAGATTCAAAGCTTTGATTTTATTTTTTTTTACATTTTCTGCCAACAGAATAGAGATAGAAATAAATATGCTCAAACTATATTTTAATTATCTCTAAAGGACGCATCTAATAGTTTTATAAGTGTTTCCATTTGAGAGCCTACATTTCATATTCCTATAACGCAACATAAAATAGACCCTTTATTAAGCCATAACCAGGAATCTGAATAATAAAAGTGCTGCTTTGGGTGCAACTGACATAATTTCTCCTTTTGTTTATCTTCCAGCACCTCCTTACAAATGTTTTACCATGGATGCTGAACAGCCCTAGTTAGTGAAACCTGTGTAAAACATGCAGAACTGAAGTTTTTGCAGAGTTTGTTTCAGCATTGTCTGTTTTTTCAGCTCTTTATGACTGCATTGCATCCTGACAACTTTCAAGGGAAAACTAAACCAAGGATGTTAATCCATTTTGATGTAACTATATTTCCTTGAAGGCACAGTCTTATGGCATAAGACGGATCGATCTGATTAGTTCAATTTGAATTTGACACTGCTTGAAAAGGGAGGGACTTTCAGTACAGTTCTCTGACCTGATTGGGTGAATCACCATTGGCACACACCTTTTATCAAACTTTGAGCCAATCAAAGCAGTGGTAGCATCTACGCCATATCACACTCTTGATTTGTTAACTTTATCCCAAAACACGTCAGAAGGAACGCGCAAACATCTCTCCAATACACTAAGGCAAAAATGGCATCCTTTCCCAAATTTTTCTAAAAGAAATAGAGCGTATTTCTTCCAAAATCAGAGCAGCCATCTTTGTTTTGCTTCAGCCTTCCACCTCTGGTTGACGCAATGACATCATATAAAACACCGCATTATATTGGTGCGGAACATTTCAGTATTGAGGTTAATGCATCTGTTGGTTTTTGTCAAGATGTATTTTCTGGAGTTTGTGAATTTACAAATCTGGCGACCATTTAATTTTCTTTCAAGTGAAAAAATTAACACCACCAGTAACCCAGTTTGACTAACTGGACGTCAGATGCCTCTGATGGATTTGGTTCCATGATTGTTGGTGACTTGGCTTCCAGATCCTGCTTATATGCTATGAATATTTGTTATGGTTTCACACTTCTTGTTTTTGACTTCAGATTTCAAGCACAATATGCTTCATATACTCTAAAAAAGAGGTGAGAAAGTAACCACAGTCTAAGACTGTTAAATTGAAGCAACTGTTAAGGAATGACATTGTGTTGCACCTGCTGAGAAACAATATGTGATATGGGGTATGTGGATGTCTAACTGTGCACGCTTACCCAGCCAGTCCTCCGAATATGTCCTTCACGTAGGAGTAGTCCCCCCCTGACTTGGGGATGGTAACACCCAGCTCAGCATAGCACAGCGCTCCAATGGCAGTGATGATGCCTGTGATGATCCAGACGATCAGGGCCAGGCCCACGGAGCTGGCGTTCTCCAACACTCCCTTTGGGCTGACGAAGATACCCGAGCCGATAATATTACCTGATGGAGAGAAGCATCAGCTTTCAGTACAGGAAGATAAGGTGCAAGATGCATCTATTAGGTTTAGGTTTAACTCAAAAGCTTCAGATGAGGTGGTGAGATTTATCTTAGCTCAGCCTGGAAGCGTAAAATATTGTGTGTTGAAGACCTCCCTGTTTTAAAGTAAAAGAGCAAACATTAATGTGTTTGAACCCATTTTAATTTAATCTAAAACCAAGCAGAAAGAGTTTTAACTCTATTTTCAATTTTGATATCAGGTTCCATTTATTTCAAACAACACATCTGCATTTCCTACATTTTATTATGCACCTTAATTCTCCTAAATAATGTTTGGCCTGTATTTCTTTGGAGCAAAAACTAATTTAAATGGAACTGACCAAGTTTAGTCAGTTATGCATCCATCTATGCTCTGCTGGCTTTTTCACAAGGGGATTAAAAAACAAATAACCAATCATAGGGGAGAGAAGCGAGGTGCAGGTCCAAGGACAATATAAAGTAACCACTAAAGTTAACTTGGTTCTGGAACATAGGAAAAAAAACACACCTGGATGAAAAGAACCTCCAAGGTTCACACAACCAGAGAGCTCCTTACTATGGGATTGCATTACTCCACCAAACACCCTGATAAGCCCGTCCCACACAAAATTACGCTTAAAAACAACTTTTGAATTTATCAAGTGTGATTTAGGGCAGGGATGGGCAACTTTAGTCGTTGAGGACCAGTTTGCTGCTACTATCTGCTGTCCCTAGTCCATCACACCTATGATATGACTAACAGGACTCTAAAGAGGCTGACTGCAAACTAAGCAGGTAAGTTAGCCATTTGACCAATACTCACCCATAAAGACCGGAGTGGCCTACCCCTGCTTTAAAACATCGATGTCTAAACTTTTTGCAAAGCTTTGACCAAAGAATGTGAGGTAGAAAGTACTCATTAGCTCCAATTTATTTATTTCAACATTTTGTTTTCATTGCTAAAATAATCTTTCTGATTTTTCTGTATTTCATTTGCTCACCAGAAATAAAACATTATAACGTCTTATCTGCGAATCAATTATATCTAAAACGGGTGGGTGGCAGCCTAGTGGCTAGGGCATAGGGCTTTGAATCCTGAGGTTGTGAGTTTGATCACTTACTCCCACAGACTGCCACTCTGGCTCCCTGAGCAAGACCCTTAACCCCACACTGCTTCCTTATGAAAATACATAATGTCCTATCACTTTTTAAGTTTTTATATGCTGTTTTTTATTTATTTATTTTTCATTTTGTTGCTTTAGAGTTTTTTTTAAAAGCGTGCTGTGGGTCGCTTTTTTTTTTTAAATATTCGCTCTCTTTTGTCAAGTTTACTGCACTGGTGAGTTTGAGTCTTTCTTTTTTAAATAACAGCCGCTCTATATTTGTGGTCCTACTTTCCATTCGGTTAAATTAAAATAATAAAAAGAACATTGCTAATTAAATATGAAAACATTTTTGCTTCAACCAGCATTTTTGTTTTTTTTTGAAGATTGAAAACATCTTTTAAATAAAACCGCTCCTGATTTGTGGCCAAGTATACTTTGGACTATTTAACGTGGGCTTCTATGCTTAAAAATCACCACCAAATCTTGTCAATAATGCAATGAACCATTAAGACGATATTTTTACACATTTACACCCTCTTAGCTATATATGCTTAAAAGTTTATTTTTACTGTAAGAGCAACTATGTTATACACACTTAGTCTCTGAGGCCTTGTTGATGCTTTTACTTCCAATTTTTCAGTTTTCACAATTTCTTTCCACCAAAATATGTCTGTTTTTGAATCACATAGTTTTAGTATTTTCATACTAGCTAATTTTTGTGTCTGAAATTGCAAAAATTCAACCTCATTTGCATAATTTCTCAAGCTGCCATAATACTTTGTCATCATTTTTTATTTTATGCCTGTTTAGAGACAAACTAAGCAGAAAAAGGGTCAAAATCAGACTGGGGATTAGCAGACTCAAACGGAAAAGAGCAAAGAAAAAAACAAAAACGATGGTGGAATTATGCTGACGTTGCAGAGAGATATGAGAAAGACAGAAAGCAGGGGTGAATGAGTGCAAAGAGAGATTAAAGGTGGATACAGAAGGGGGGGGAGAACAATGCCCTGACAGATTCGTTGAGCATCAAAGTGCCGTTTTCATGGAAAGTTGGTGGGAACGCTGATTGGCGGAGATGAAAGAGCTGCCGCCTGGGATAGAGCTAGGCCCAAAAGAGTTCAGGCACAGGATTTACTGGGATTAGACTCTGCGTAAGGTAGTAAGATGTCAAAGATCGCTGGCTTTGAATCATAATGAGCTGGATGACTGGCTAAGGGGCATGCAAGTACAAAAGTCAGAGTACTGAATGATAGTCAGATCTCATCTGGCTCCTGACACGGCCATAAAGTGTAGTAAGCTATAAAACATATTAGCAGCAACGAAACAATGTGCAAAAAAGTTACTTCAAACCCAATACAGTGATATACTCTGATTGAAAGTGTCTAGACCTGTAAAATAGGCAATTTAAGATTTTAATTCCAAATGATAACAGTAAAAAGTCTTACATTTATCTCAGTTTGCGCTACTAGATATATACTTTAATATCTGCTTTCCATTCAAAAGCAAAAAAGAGATTTTTGTGCTTAATCAACTCCATTTGCAGGTAAGAAGGACAAAAATCTGTCCTCTCCTGGATTACCTGGCCATTTTTATAACAGTGGGGTTTCTGCAGTGCATGAACTTTGACGTTCTGAAAAAAACGCTATGTGCTGACTCAACGCTTAGTTTTGTGACTTCCACCCTGTCTGATTAGCTTTTCTTTGGTTAAGTTTTACTGACTCGCCTGACCGACAGACTGATTCTGCAAGATCCAGTGCATGCTGTGCTGTCATTATCATGTGCAGCTTTGCACAGCCGTGTATCGGACTGCTGACTGTGGGGAATCTTTATGTTTCCTGTTCTTTCCATTTGTCTCTTGGTGGATTTTCTTTTTTTAATTATTACTTTTAAAACAGACAGCTCTAAATCATTCGATTGTTTCGAAGACTTCAATTAATACCATCTCGTTTCAGCAACTGTTTTATCAAAAAGTGTATTGCCAAACCAAAATGTCCAAGCCGCTATAACTTTATTGTGAAATATTGGATTAATTCTTTTAACAAATATCACCAAAATGTTTTTCCCATTTCCTTTTTTTTTGTACTGCAATACAGTTTAACAAAGGAAGAGCACATATCTGTTTCTGGTGAACTTTGATTTTTCTTTATGGCTGCAATATACCCAGAGACGAACTTAGCCATTTTGGGGCTCAAGGCACTCTTTTGTGAAGGGCCCCTCCTAAAGCCAGTGTTAATATCCCAGTCTGCAAGATTTGGTAGAGCTGCCTCAGCATTCAAAGTGCAAAACTGTGAGCCAGATAATACTACAGCATTTCACTGTGATCCCTTCCTGGCCTCCAAAGCAAAAGAATCAGAAAAATGAGCCGACAGCATTCAATAATAGATTTGCATATTCGTCTAGAGCTGTCAGCAGGCTTGCCCCAAGCATGTTCAGTTCTATGTGCCTCCGTCACTGAAGGGCTGTGTCATAGGCTTCAAGAAAAGAGACCAAAGGGTTAAATATAATCCCTCTTCTTAAAAGATTATAACAATACATGTAAACATTTGATTCAGAAAAAAATCTTCATGCTGTTTTAGCCATGTACAATTTTCTGTAAATGATTCTGAATCAAACAAAAAGGCGCACAATAATTTTTACCTGAATTCCTTTTGAAAAAAGTATTTAAATTGAAGAGTAAAGAGAAAGTTTACGCAAATGATGAAAACAAGCAAACAAACTTTCGCTAAAGGAGACAATGGAGCTTTTGAAATATTTAGAAAAACCTTAATCCAAGCTTCCGTCTCATTCTGATTTATTTATTTAATTTATGATTAGAGATTTACAAACATCTGATTAATTATTATTCTACATATTATTTTCTTCTTTTATCACACTGTTATTTTTTACAGCTGTCTGGCCAAGAAACTATTTTATTTTGTTCTATTAGAACTAATAATAAAACATTTTTACAGCACAGTCTGTTGTTCCCCATCGAGCAAGGCTTTACTATGAAACACTTTCTGTATAGAAAAAATACATTAACTTGTGGAGTTTAAATTGATCATCCATGACCTTTCTTCTGCTCTCATCTTTTGTCTATTATCAGTATTAATATCTTAGCATCTGAGAAAAAAATACAAAATATTATATGGGTTTTACTTAAACGAAAACTGTGTCCTTGATGAATGATTTTAATGATTTATAATAGGAAATAAACAGTAAACAAATAGAAGGTAAGTTTGGTTTTAATTATTGCAATGTATTTCTTATTAATACTCATATTTAAACAATCCATGACTGTATTTTAAGAGTCACAGCAGATAGACTAAGGCTTCCTTTTGCACTTACTTGTCTCCATGTTACCAGATGCATTATATTATCTCATTATATTGAACATTTATTTCTTTCCATCAAAGTGCAGAATTGGACTGGCTGTGCCAGTGAGTGCCTTTCAAATGAGATCATGTTTTTTCGTGTTGGACTGGCCCTGGACTGAGCAGCTGACCCGGTCATTAAAGAATGGACTAACTGCTAGTCTGTCACCACATGTTTACAAACCTGCACAATCGAATGCAGTGTGTGTGAATAACCCTTTATTCTTTCATATTTTTAATCTACTTTTTTTCATATTATGGTGAAGTGGGAAGTGATTATAGGTTATAGAATAACAAGTAATCTGACTGGTTTAATCTAAATGTCTTCCTTCATGAGCTTTTCAGAAAACATGTGGGGCTTTAACTGTTCTTGTATCAAACAAATACAGATTTTTTTTCTTTTCTTTCACTTTTCAGCTCCTTTTCATATTTTACTTTGCTGATCTCTCCGACTGTTTGCTCAAGCCCCATCATTGCAATTTACGCTATTTCATGTATTTATCTGATGAGATTGATTTGTTTATTTTTGTATATGGTAAGGGGAATCAAAATTCCATGAGGTATGTTTTTAACTTAACTCTCATCCCCTTGGGGAGCAGTAGGCTGCCATTGTGCTGCACCCGAGGGAGCAGTGTGTGCTTTAGGGTCTTGCTCAGGGACCCAGAATGGCAGTCCGTGGGAGTGGGGCTTGAACCTCAGGATTCCAAGCGCAATGCCCTAACCATTAGGCCCCCACTCCCCAAAGCAGGCATTAGCGTGAAGGGTCTTGACTAAGGACCCACACTGGCAGCTGAGATACGAACCCAGAATTCCTTTTTGCAGGACGGGCGACTTGCCACTTGAGCTAGCCAGCCACTAAATGGCACTTTCAGTAGCAGCTAAATTGTGTCACATCTTTTTTATTGTTTTGGTTGTAATAGTTATTTCATTTCAAACATAAAAGTAATTAAAATGCACTATTAGGGGGGTGGGCAATCAGCAGGGCCCTTTACTTGTAGGGCCCCTCCTGATAGATATCTGTATGGCAGATCGAACCCCTGACTATACCTGCAGCCATAAATTATATTACTGTAATTTTAATAAATGTTTATGATTAAATTTATCAAATTAAATATAAGGGACATTTTATAAACATTGAATCAGAGTCTTTATAATGACTGCAAGTATTTATGATACATTACAGTGAATAAAAATCAAAAAAGTATGCTCTTTGATACAGTATATGTGGTTTTTAATATAAAATACACAGCTCACTTATTTTTCAGTTAAAGAGTAACGACACCTAACAGAAATTAAACCCAATATTTCCTTTTTTCCAGGAGCTTTCTGTTTCCTCTTAGACAAAATCACAGCTAACAGCAGCCACTCGCACACTGTCTGTGCAGCTCAGTTATGTAATTGTAATCAGCTCATAGTTTTTGACTAATTCTTGCATTTCCCCCCACAGCAATACCGTTGTCAAACAGCCACCAAGCTGAATTAATACAAAGTTTATGCACACATATGTAAACTTTCACTGCACTTTAAGATTTTAAAGAAAAGTTTTATAACAATATTAATAACAACGATAAGAGGATCGTAACGAGAACATACAGAGTTAAATGTTATTAATATAGCCAAGATATATTTTGATGCCCAGCCAAACTAAAAAGAGCTTTAATGAAAACCAACAAACTTTGCAGTATGCCTCAGACAGAAATAGAAGGCTGCATACGACCCTGAACACTTGAACCCTAAGGTGAAGCATGGTGACAGAAGCATAATGATGTGGGACAATTTTCTTTAACACAGAAAAAAAAGATTTAAAGGGTTAAATGGGAAAATGGTTGAAGAACTTTAAAATTAACACAACCCTCCATTTTACAATTACACACTGTATCACAGTAAAATGCACCACAGTCGTGGTTGTATTATAACAGAATGTGAAATGGGTGCCAGTAGTTTAGCAGGGCAGTGAAAACAACGGCAGCTAATAAACAGGATTAGGGTGGAGTCCTTCTCTCCAAAAGGCCAAAAGTTCACTTGTAATCCGTAATTCATGCAACGCAAGTTACTGGGTTTATGTGTTAGATAAAAAGTGAACAATGGTCTATAAAAGTGTCTGAAGTCCTTGTGTACTGGGCAACTTTTTCAAGGAAAGCCAGCGGGGCAGGCTCGCAGCAAAAGGATCAGGCAGACTTGAACAAGCATGGAGGAGTAACTCGGTCAAGGACGAGCGCCATGACCGAGGGGGAGCCTGGTGAATGCTCCGAGGACTCTGAACAGCTGTAAAATCCTCTGAGCTGGATTGCCAACCTTGTTAATGTTCAGTAGAAGAATAGAATACCCAAATTTAATAAACTGCTGCTCTTGAAACACATGTAAAAGTCTAATAAGGTAACAGTTATTTTTTTATCCAGCCGTTAAATCACTAATTAGTAGTTAATGAAGATGAAAAATGTGAAAAATGTAGAAAGTTCATGTGAAAATAACTTTTAAGCATTATACTTCAGTCATTTTTCAAATGGTATTAAATAGATATATCCTCAAAATGTCACACAATACCCCATTATGATGAAAACAAAAAGATTGCAAATAGAAAACGTTAAAGTCACACATATGTAAGTATTTACAGCCTTTGCCAAAACTATTTGCTCAATTTTTGACGAAAACTACAACCTCATGTCTTTTTATATATGATGCAATGAGCTATCGTCTGTTATGACTCACATGTTTTGGTTCATTTTTCCTTTCTCAGAGCAAATCTACTGAAATGTTTCTAGGACTGGTGGCGAGGAGGGACCTGCATAACACATGACCTTCAGGAAGGTGTCACCAGATGAAGACCTGTGCTTCGACACAAGTACCTTTATTCTGACCTTGTCAAAAACATCAAAACAAGGCTGTTGGATAAGGAGGAAGATGTTAGTCTGTAGGGATTCATGCTTTATAAGCAATTTATTTGTGGTCAAATCAAAAGAAGAAGATGGGTCTGTCTGTTTAAAGTTTGTGATTAAATCCTTTTCTAAAGGCTATTCTCACATTTAAATGAAGCAGGATTTAAACCTCTGACTGGTTTGGTCGGTATCTTCTCATCCTCTCCCAACCTCTTTTACTTTTACTCTTTCAGCAAACCTCCTTGGAAAACATTGCACTGTTCACACTCTCCCTGTCACCTTCAAACCCCACTCTCTTTCCTCCCGTTACCTCGGAAACACAGGAATGAGTCACCGCCTCCCTACCCCTCCCATCTAGTGACGAAGAGCCTAACTCCGTCTGGACACCCTGCATCATGTTTTAAGCCCCTGAGTCAGTATTGATTAGCTTGATGGAGTTATCTTTACATGTTTGTCCTCTGCATTGTTTCAGCCTGGCTGACCTTAGAGCAGCCATGTTAACCTCTCTGTGTCATCATCCAGTCTCTGTGCTGAGTAAGGTTTGATGATGAAGCTGATGGTGGAGATAAAATACTTAAGATTGATTTATTTAATGAAAGTTAGTATAAAGCGTGTGCTAAAAAGATAGGCCACTCATTTTATTGTACTTTGGTTTTAGCATATTATTAAAGCAAATGCAAAATAATTCATTTTGGTTTTAATTTGTGTTTGTGCCAAAATAAGTTCTTAGCTGTTAATTTATGATTCGTATAGGTTATATTCATATTATTCATACTATATTCATTCATATAGGTCTTATATATTAATTCAATTTCTCTGTAAATTTTTGTTGAAAAGGTGTTGCCATATTAGTTTATTCCTTAGTTTATCTTAGATCTTAACTCTTAGAGTCTTATCTTAAAGTCCAGATCTCTGGTTCTTCAATAAAAGGGTTTCATTTGTAAATGGTAAATGGCCTGTACTTATATAGCGCCTTTTATCAAGTCAGGAGACTTGACCAAAGCGCTTTACACTGACCAAAACGCTTTACACTACATTCATTTACCCATTCACGCACACACTCACACACTCATGGCGGCAAGCTACATTGTAGCCACAGCTGCCCTGGGGCTCACTGACAGAAGCGGGGCTGCCGTACACTGGCGCCACCGGGCCCTCTGACCACCATCAGTAGACAATGCAGGTGAAGTGTCTTGCCCAAGGACACAACGGCACTGAAAGTCGGAGCCGGGGCTTGAACCGTCAATCCTTCAATTTCAGGGCAAACTCCTACATCCAACGCCCTATGTCTTTGTGCATAGCGCATAGCTCTTCCCAGCTTCCCAGCTGTCAATGGAGCCCTTCCATGTCGCTGATCTTAACATATTCAGTTATTTCTTATTCTCTTTATCTTCATCCTTGGATCCTTTCTTCAGCCTTCCTGTTTGGACTCTTCAACAGCTCATCCTAACTCACTCTCCTGCATTCAGTGTCATATATATATTTAAGCTCCTGGGTTTAAATTGTTCGATGCATGATTCTTCTGTCACACATCGCTCTATGTCCTGTTTGTTTTGTTTAAAATCTGTAGCTTTCCATTTTATTATATTAAAGCTCAAGCCTGTTAATCTACATTTGGTTCCAAATCCCAACATTACAGTAACAGCATGTGTTCCCCTTTCTATCTCTACCTATTAATGGCCTCTCTTCAAAATTAAGTGCCTAATAAAAATATCGAAACAACCTGAACTTTTTCACATCCAATATGTGTGCATCATTGAATATCATCTATATGCATGTAATTTCATTTCTGGATAAACCCGATATGTCTTTGAAGGCCTCAGAAGCCTATTTGGCATGGCTTTAGAAAATTAGGAAAATCAGTTGATAGAACAACTATAAGCCCATCTGGAAGAGTTGAATGCTTAAATCTACAGAAACTCAGTGCAGTTTGACATAATCCATGAAATGAACATGAAATGCAACTTTTTGGCCTACATGCAAACCAGCATGTGTGGCAAAGAACAAACACTACATATCACTCTGATGGTGTCTATGCTGAGCCACAGTGGTGGTAGCAACATGCTGTGGGAAAGATTTTCTTTAAAAGCAAGACTTAAAAAAAAAAACATGTGCACGAAAAAAAAAAAACTATCCATGAATTCGGACCTGCCTGGAGCTGTTTTGTGAGTAGGAATCGGTAAAAAAAAACAAAAAAAAAAAACAAAAACAAAAAAAAGTAAAAAGATGCGCAAACAGATCTACTCCTAGAGGTTTGCAAGCATGCCAGTGAGTCATGTGAGTCTACAAACTACCCTGTATTGACAAATTCGGTAAACAGCAGCGATAAGGTAGTGTGAAGACGCTCTCATTAAAGTTAGATGAAAGCTTTAGTGAATCAAGGAGCAGAGAGGGCGATAATACAGCAGGATTGAACTGGTTATTTTTTCTTTATTAATTCATTTAACCCTGTTTGACTAATCCAAGCGTTACTATTCTGTTGTTTTGAGTCAATACAAGCTTTACATCCTCCTGTGAATAGTGAAGCACAGGTAAAGGTGCAGTAAAAAGAAGAGAGAAACAGTCACTTACCAACTATAATACCACAGGCGCTCACAAGTCCGATCTCCTTCTTGAGCGCAACTCCCCCAGACTCCTTCTGAGGCGCTGCATCCTTGGCAGATCCCGCCGTGCTGCTCCGCTGTCTTGGACCGTCCGTCATTTTGTCTTTGCTTAATTGGTACTAATTTTTTTTTTGTCCAAGTTTTGTCGTTTTTTGCAGCACCTGATGATAGCCCTCTGCGCGCTCCACGCCTTGTGCGCAAAAGTCCTCCTTGCGCGCAGGACAACGGTCACTGCAGCGTTTATCTGATGATTGTCTTTTTTTGCACTGTCAGCAGCTTTTGATTACGGTTGTTAGAGGTTAAAACAATATATCCCTCTCTATATAATATAAAACAATTAAAAATAGTTTGGAAATAAGCCGCAGGCTTTTACAAAACTGGAACCTAGAAATATATTTTTATTTTTCTGTCTTTGCACTGGCAGGGTGGCCAGAGAACAATAAAAGCACATATTCCGATAACTTTTTGATTTGTTTTGTGCCTGTTGTGCAATTTAAAGTGAAAAAGATTTTCACAGATTCAGTGAAAAAAAATCTAATACTCTCACAGCGTTCTTGTTCCAGATGTAAGGAGAGCTGACACAAACATCCCCTCTGCGCACAGACAGTAAAGCAGCAGCCTGGTCTTTCTCTTCAGCCTCCTTGAATTCAGACAGTAGAGCTTGTGTTAGGGTTCATATGCATCCCGCCTTTCATAAAAACATTATAGCACCGCCCATGCTTGTTTTTCCATCTCGAAGTCCCCTCCCTTCTTAATTTTCGTTTCCTCCCCTCTAAACCAGCTGTTAATCAAATCTGAAGAGTTCCCTCTCCTTCTAAAGCAGGTGATCTCCCCTCCTTGCAGTGGCGTTATGTTCCAGTTCACCACTTGGCTCACAGAGCCGCAGTTATTATTCAGGAGGCTGCAGAAATCCTGCTTCTAAATTTAGCCATTTTTACGCAGACGTCACGACTGTGTGTCCATGGCTGTCTGACAGCTCCATCTAACTAGATGTGTTTGCAACAATAGGTGGTAGATTGTTGTTGGTTTATGATGCTTGACTAAGTTTATCTAAAGAAGACCATAAACACATATGTATTTTGAACAGAGATAAGTTTATACAGGTGAATTTGAATATGGAATACATTTTTAGTGATTTATTTCATTCTTTTTTCAAAATCAGAATCATTTAAAAATCCCTTGCAGGAAATTATTTTCTTGCAGTGCAACTGTTTAAAGAGGAGAGAAAATGAGATTGTCAGTACAAATAAGATATAAGAATAAAACACTGATTACAGTATGTACAATCGACATAATTTATAATTTACAATGCTGCTCAGTACCAAATTACAATTATTGCACATGACCGTGTTATTGCACATAGTGAAGTAATGGAATAAATAAATAATAAGTAAGGAAGTTAAAGGACTGTCAGAAGGATGAATTGTAGTGTTTGATGGTCACAGGCAGGAATGATTTCCTGTGGCGCTCTGTGGTGCATCGTGATGAAATGAGTCATAAAACTAAATACTGTATAGATTCCATCCAAAACGTATAATTACTTTTCTCTCTGTTTATTTTATTTAGGGCTTATAGATAATTAAAATAAAAAATTTTGCTCCTCAAATATTAAGATTTGATCTAACTAGTGATAAAACTAGTGATAGTGTAGAAAGTTGTCCTGACAAGTTTGTTTACTGCCCATTTTATGCTGGCGATATCGGGGCACCTTATGCAGGGATTACTAGATTAGCAACATGGCAGGAATATGTCTGTCTGAGTTTTAAAGGAAGCTCAAGTTGCTTTTACAGTAGCAGTACCCAAGAATGTTTAACGGGGGATACAATGAGTGAAACTATGACTCCAGCCACAGTTCATGCTTCTGATTCCACAAAAACATTATTGAACAGGCTTTGCTTCCTGATTCTCTCAAAGCCCCATTTTCAATATCACACTTTTTCCTTCTACTTAATTTTCCTGTAATGTGCTTGATACAGAATTTTGAGAACAGCAATGATCTTTTGGGCAGCTTTAATGGCCTTTTTTGGCTGTTTCATTCCTTTAATAATTTCCCTTTTAATCTTTTATGTTACATCCTTATTAAGTAGTGGGAACTGATCAGAGCACAGCTGGGCTGCAGAGCTATCAAATGAGGAAGGAGTTTATTTTTGTTTGTTGTGTTGTGGTTTCTTCGGTCAAGGACACTCTAGCAGCACAGAGGCTTTCACAGTCAGGACTGCAGCATCATCAGTGCCATCACTGTTACACATTATTTGCTCTAAAAGCATCACTAGGGATTTAATTTCAAATCCACCTGCCTGCGGATAAAACACTCCCTGAATGACCGACTTAAGTACAGCAGATTAAAAGGTGGGGCTCATACAGATTTTCTGATGCAGACAAATTTATCAGCAAACTTGGCAAAGATTTAATAAAAGCCTGGTACTAAGCATATATTTTATTGCAGTATTTTACTAACACAAAGAGAAATGAATAAAAATCCAAGATGTATTCTATTTATTCAGTGCAGACAGAGAAGGCCATGGAGGAAACCATGACTGATGTGTCCATAATACATCGTTATCCTGATAGGATCAGACCTTATAATACATTATCATTTGGTTAGGAATGATAATCCAATAGAATTTCATTTAAATTCGCCTGACATTGCAAAGGATTCTTGTTGTAATGCACTGTAAGAGGGTTTTCTAGTCCTTTGGAAAAGAAACAGACCCTCAGCATGACTAACCCTCTGCTGTAGTTAGCAGTTTGCAGGAGGTGGTTTATCAAATTTACTAACATTGTTTCACAACAAACCTACCAACAGTCAATGTTGCAAAACATGTGAATTTTATCCTGATATTGTAAAAGCATATGTTTTAGCTAAAGGCCCAGTAGTTTTAAAACCTTACGTTTACGGGTCTGATGGTAGGTTAGAGGAAAAAGGAGCAAGTATTCTTTCCTGGCATCACTCCCTGACAGGCAATCGGCTGGTAAACAACATTTCTTGGTTGCTATGGAGGATCGGATGACATCGTTCTCCAACAGTGAACCGTGTAGATATCTTTACCCTCTTCACCATCTTACTGTGGCTGATCACAACATAAATGTGGTTCTTCTGCCAAGTAACCAATTGCTGAAACAATCAGACTTCTGTGTCACAGTTATATCCTGGCGAAACAGAAAGTCATGGATTGCTAATAAAAAGTTCCTCGTTATGCTGATTAAATTTTGAAAAAAAAAAAACAAAACAAAAAAACAGAAACTTTCAGCCGTAGAGAAACTCACTGTTTCCTGCTTATCGTTCAAAAAGTGATGTCGTTTTCCATAGATCCCTGAAAGAAAAAACCCATTTAGTTCAGTTGTTTTAGATACCCAGATGCAGTGAGGCAGGAAGGAGCACACGTCATGACTGCTCACTCACCATCCATGTGCTCGGCCATTAGAAAGCCACTGTGTGTGCCAGCTTGTTGACAGTTTGCTGGCACAGAACACCTTCCCTGGACATTTTTAATGGGCCATCTCAAAAAGAACAAACACATTAGGAATTGTTTTTTATGGATAAGAATATATAAGCTATAGAGCAAGTTCAACACAAAAAAACTCCAAATATATAAGAAATGTCCAAACCAGGCCTTAAATGTCTCATATTAGGATAAAAATCTCATAGGAAGATGTAAATATCTACAGTATTACAATAATAGCAAACTACAGGGAAAACAGCTTAACAGCTATAAAGCATGTTTGAAATATAATAAGATCATGACCACGCATTGATTAAGATACATATTTAGTTGCTGCTTTTACATGCCATGTTTTAGAAATAATACAATTTCCAGTGATCTCCTTATCATCTATAAGAAAAGTTGGTTATGCTCTTAAGGACGACATTATCTACCAGCAAGATGGGAGTCTGAGAGGATTTAAAGTTATAGTGGAGGATTTTTGCAAATTTTTGAAAAGACCCGCCTTTTCCACTTGTGCACATGCACATCCCTGTACTTGCTCTTGAGAGGGGAACGCCAATTAAATGCGTGCAAGAGCATGCATGAGCCAATTTCTCCTCGTGCACACTCTGTTTAAAAGTTGCTCATTGCATTGCTCATACAAGCACACTTTCCAAAAGAAGATTTGCAATTTTTCCACTCTGTCAGATTCACCACCGGTAAGTGAAAATGGGGATGAGCACGTAGGATGGCCTGACGTAAAAATATCACCAGGATGATTGACAATTAGGAGGACCACTTATTTTAATGATCCACCCGGAAAAGAACATCCTCCACTATACCTTTGTTTTAAAATCTCTGTTTTTACGAATATTGATTTCTCTACAGTACATAAAAAATACTTCTAGGGAAAATTGAACTGACGTGCAAAGGTAAAAGTGAGGGTAAAATGGTAATATGACACAACAAAGAAAGAACAGGAGAGAGCAGCGTTCAAGAACAGCTGACCACAGGGAGAGAGATACAGTTTATAAAAAAAAAGTCAACATCAGGACACAGCAGATGAAACTAAGAGACAAATAAATTACTCCAAAATTAGAAAAAATCTGTAAATGAATTATACATGCATATAAAATCCTGTTTTCCAGAATACCCCCTTGTTTCACCTTCCTTCGATTAAAGTTTCCTCACTGAAGTCACTAAAGGCTAAAATATTAACTAAAATATTCCCTAAAATATTAACTGATATATTTTCATTATCAGCTTTACTGCTCTCAATAAAGCTGTTTTTTTAAACAAGGGTAAAAAAAACGAATCAGCACACAATCAGCATATAAATGTGTTTGAATATTTACATTTTAATTCACTTATCTGCCTGAAGAAAAGTTCCTTTGTTTTGGTCTTGACCTATTATTTGTTATCTTTTAATCAGCAGGATTTTAAGAAGTCATTGATCAAACATAATCACACCTATTGTTCTGATCATGATAAAGTTAATGGCTCTGATTGATGCAGAGCACACCCTTGATCATCTTCGTAATCTTCAGATTAAAAATGAGCGGCATTGACTTGACATTGTTTTGTCCTCGGTATCAGATCATAGCATATCATTATTTTAGTGTAATCAGAGCTGATTAGTAAAAGCAACAGGAAATATGTTAAAATGAGGAGGATAAGAGTGAATGTGTTCCCATGTAATAATAGTAGTAATTATATTTTGCTTACACCACTGGACTTT